GCATAACCTAGCGGGGTCTTATGTGGTTCGCCAATCCAAGTCCAGGGGCTTAGGTTGCCGGTTCCCATCACTGAACAACAGGCCTTCGTGACCGCCCCATCTGCTGTTCATCATACAGTGGTGTGTAATAGAAAAATCTCACAATGATATTTGGTAGGAGACTTCGCCTGAAATACCAACTAACCGACAGTAGTGGCGTTATTATTTTCACTTCCTATCGGGTCCGAATGCTTGAAAATTATCGTATCGTCGTCGTACAGCAGAGTATAGCGAAGCGAACTTCGCTGATCGCTGCCAAGGCAGCTTGGCTGTCCTTCGGTTCACTATCACATATAGCCTGGCTGGGCCCTATGCGGATCTCCACCTTGAATCCCGGGATTTCGGTTACCAGTTTTCATCACTGAATAGCAGTTCTTCATGACAGTGGTTTTTACTCCGTCTGCGGTTCGTCCCATAAATACGTGCAATGAAAGGAACTCACGCGACAACCGTACACACATTCGCGTCTTGAACCTCAACATTGATCCTTGACATTTTCTCGTCCACTTCCCCTCTTTCTCTATTTCTATTGAAAACTCAAGTTTATTCCACAGATCACCCATCTTCAGTTCCCTAGTTATCCTCTCCCTATCTCATTCATTCCTAAAGCTGGTGCATTCATCCACCATGCGATTGCTTCTACCCCTTTTCTCCACGTAAATCTACCCAACCGCGAGTTCCAGACTATGTGGCTGAAACGCTAGCTTTCTTTTAATCGCTGGTTCTACAATGTACATTTCTTCCCAATAACTTTTTGGTATTTTATCGGCAAATAGCGAGAACGTCTTAAAAGCAGACCCGAGATTGCAGTTCACGATTTTCAAGTCCATATCAAGACCATCGCATTTTGGACGTGGAGTGGAGTAATTTGTATAGAACAATCTTCACCAACTAGTTAATTTCTCAATCGTGCTAGCGACCAGGCTCATACCCTCGATCTCGTCCACACATTCAACCCAAAGTTATTTTTCAGTATTACTACAGTTCCTTTCCTGGGCCCAGTGCTCGAAAAGGTTGTAAATTGCACACTTTAATGAAATGAACAGCAGACGGGGCAAACCCCATAATCACGAGAACCTGTTGTCCAGACATGGAAACCGGTAATTTTATCCCCGGGACTTAAGGTGGCGAACCACAGAAGACCTCCCTAGTTTGTGTGGTATTAACCTGGACGACGGCAAAGCTGCCTGCCACCGAAGTTGGGTGGCGGGGCTCGAACCTCCGACTATAGAGTCCAGAGTACGCGGGTGACGGCGAATAAACCACCGCGTCACTGGTATCCAAGAGGGCTTTTCTCTGGTTGACAACGAGATGCTCCTCACTTTGGTAGAAAATAGGGCTCCTTGAGGGTTGTGTAATTGTACTTTAAAACTCATGCTAGAGTCACAAACAGATGCATAACCACCGCAACCAGTTCCTCAGTAGTCTTGTGTGCTATAAAATCCAAAATGTACGACATTTGTCGCAAGCTAAGGAACATATTGATCAGAACCTGTAGTTAACAGTTGCACAGTCACTCATTTCTCAACACTACAAGTGACTTTACAGAGAGTAGATTACTCTTGTACATTCGGAGATTGTCAGTTGCATCGTGTCGACAAATGACTGGCGTAACCAAACCCTAATAGCCCTAATCAATTTTCCCCCTGAAACTGCTTCTTTCTGACTGAATGCACTAGGCCGTAATATAGATTTGTTTTTCAAGCTTTCTCATACATTCGAATGTTGATTCTTCTTTTTATGTCCGTCAGGATAAAGCTACACTAAACGACCGCTTGTTATCTGGCACAAGTTTGGCTGATATAGATCCAATGACTTTGGACGAGTCGGTGGGATTTGATCAGATCGGCGGCCATGATGGATATATATTGGCACTGAAGGAGAGTGTTATTCTGCCGTTGATGTATCCGGAAATATTCTCCCGTTTCGGAATAGATCCACCACGGGGTGTCCTCTTTTCGGGGCCACCAGGTAAATTTTTGAAATCATTTTTTTGTCCGTTGCCCACTTATCCGTGCATATTTAAGTATTTTATTTCTGTTATTCGTCAATGAAGGAACGCGCGCGCACAATTATGGTTTTAATTATCTTTCTGTCGTGTTCGTGAACCCATATACAAAATGTGTAATTTCCCATTATACATATCAATATATCAGGTCTACCGGGAATTTTTTTCTCCGTTTCTATCACAACCAGTTTCGACATGTTTATTTGGCACACGTGTAGCTCCATTTTTATCACTTAGTGTATACATACTGAGGTAGCAAATCAACTAAAACAAAGTTGATTCACGTTAGTCTTATGTATGAAGTGATAGTGTACCTGTTTTATCTGAAATTTGCCTAATCACGTAATATTTTTTTAACATCTGCCTCTCGACTGAGGTTGAACCATTTTTGTAATATTCTGTCCATCATTTATGTCCACTCGCTTACTTGCTCAAGGCTTATCCAACTCTTACCTTTCTTGTATGTCTGTCTGTATGCGATCGTCTTACCTATAGCAGCACGCGTAGTCATCCGTAACCCACGAAAACATCGTTTGGAAAGGTACATATTGTGTATATGGTGAGACATTTGTGGACCAATGCATTATGAGCTTTCAAAACCGAATGAAAGGCTCAATTCGGAGAAGTATTGACGACAGCTGGATAGTTTAAAGACAGCAGTCCAATGAAAGAGGTCGGCGATGTTCAGTAGGAAGAACGTACTGCATCATGCTGCTCGTCAAAAAATTGCAGAACTAGGCTGGTAAATTCCACCGCATCCGTCATATTCTCCGGACAAAATTTGTTGAAGGGTAAAAAGTTAGAAAATGGAGAAGCACTGGTTCAATTCTTCGCATTAAAAGATGAAACATTTTTTAAAATGGGATATACAAATTGCTCTCACGCTTGCACGAATTCATTATTCATTATGACAATCTTTTTTATTTAAGTTTATATTGACGGTAAGAAAAATTTGTATTTTGTTTTATTCCAAAAACGGACAGAACTTTCCGGCAGACCTGGTTTATGTGTATACATATGTACAAATACAATGTTTTCCATCGCGCCTGTTCGCCGAACTTGGTAATTGGTTTGCAAACGTTGCATCACCAGCTTAGGTGACATCATCAGTGCTTGTGAAGTGGTAGTCTTCTGCTTGTATCCGTTCGGTTATATGTGTTCCTCCCCACCATTTTTGTCCCTTGTTCTCATTATGTTCGACTCGGTTCACCGTTGAACTGGTGCGTGGGCTTGAAGTTGGTAGGGGAGGTGGTTGTCCATCCGTCCTGATTGCGATTTCGGTCCGCTCTCAGGTCACGGCGTGACCTATTTGGTTGCGCTACACACTATATCGGTCAAACTGGGAGAAAACTGTCAACAAGGATCCGTGAATACCAATCGGCAGTCAGGAGACATGACCCACTATCGTTGATTCCCCTCCACGAAGATCAAGAAGGACATCAGTTTGACTTCGATTCAGTGAAAATTATCGACCAAGTCCGGTCAAAGCACGCCAGAGAATTTCTCAAATCAATTTCTCAATCAACTCAATAAACAGGCACATCGAACTGGATCATGCGTACACGCCAATGCAACTCAAGGATCAAATGACGCAACAAAAAAGGTCACGCCGTGACCTGAGAGCGGACCGAAATCGCAATCAGGACGGATGGACAACCACCTCCCCTACCAACTTCAAGCCCACGCACCAGTTCAACGGTGAACCGAGTCGAACATAATGAGAACAAGGGACAAAAATGGTGGAGAGGAACACATATAACCGAACGGATACAAGCAGAAGACTACCACTTCACAAGCACTGATGATGTCACCTAAGCTGGTGATGCAACGTTTGCAAACCAATT